TCGTAAGCCAGGAATTCACGGAAAAATCAACAGAGGTGGGGTAATAAAGTTTTATTTTATTGTCTTATTGTTTGTAATATTCTATTTTCAGTTGAATATGCGCGTGGCTCACCAAGAGATGTGCATGCATTGTTGATGCACTCAAGTCACAGTCTGCAATAGGTAGTGCTTGTATGTGGTATACCAGTTGCTAATGTCCCTGGTTTTGTCTATGCTATAGAGAAACCCAGTGGATTAAAGAACTGATTTGAGCCACTCACTCATAAAACTTCAGACTGTGACTTGTACTCAATCATGGCTGTAATAGGAGCCAAGAAACAATATCAATTATAGTATACCTGCCAGCAGTGAACAACTGGAAGATGGTAAGTGTACTTTATTGTGTCATTGTTTGTAATATTCTATTTTTAGTTGAATACGTGTGTGACCCACCAAGAGATGTGTGTGCATTGTTGATGCACTCAAGTCACAGTCTGTAATAGGTAGTGCTTGGGCCATCCTTAAAAAATAGTTTGTTTGGAATTGCCGCCTGAAGGGTTTCAGACATAGGAGGGAGAAAGGGAAATTATTATTTTTTTTTAATTGAAGAAAAATTTTAAATTTGCGATAAAAATCTTAAATAAAAAAAAGTATCTACCATCAACAAAAAACAATAACAACAACATTATTTTTCATAGATCTGACACTATATTTCAGTGTTTTGTGTGGTGCATGTGATACATGTAATGGGCAAAAAAAATTATCAAATAAAAAAAATCTTCCTAAATCTTCCTACTTTTGGTCAATAAAATTTTTTCAGGAGGGGGCATTTCAATGAGGCGGGAGGCAATTCCAAACAAACTATAATTTTATTTTGGCCTTGTATGTGGTATACCAGTTGCTAATGTCCCTGGTTTTGTCTATGCTATAGACAAACCCAGTGGGTTAAAAAACTGATTTGAGCCACTCAATCAAAACTTCAGACTGTGACTTGTACTCAGTTTTGGCTGTGATAGAAGCCAAGAAACAATATCAGTTCTAGTAAACCTGCCAGCAGTGAACAACTGGAAGATGGTAAGTGTACTTTATTGTGTCATTGTTTGTAATATTCTATTTTTAGTTGAATATGTGTGTGACCCACCAAGAGATGTGTGTGCATTGTTGATGCACTCAAGTCACAGTCTGTAATAGGTATTGTATGTGGTATACCAGTTGCTAATGTCCCTGATTTTGTCTATGCTATAGACAAACCCAGTGGGTTAAAAAACTGATTTGAGCCACTCAATCAAAACTTCAGACTGTGACTTGTACTCAGTTTTGGCTGTGATAGAAGCCAAGAAACAATATCAGTTCTAGTAAACCTGCCAGCAGTGAACAACTGGAAGATGGAAAGTTTATTTTATTGTCTTATTGTTTGTAATATTCTATTTTCAGTTGAATATGTGCGTGGCCCACCAAGAGATGTGAGTGCATTGTTGATGCACTCAAGTCACAGTCTGCAATAGGTAGTGCTTGTATGTGGTATACCAGTTGCTAATGTCCCTGGTTTTTCCTATGCTATAGACAAACCCAGTGGATTAAAAAACTGATTTGAGCCACTCACTCATAAAACTTCAGACTGTGACTTGTATTCAATCTTGGTTGGGATAGAAGCCAAGAAACAACACCGATTGATGTAAGCCTGCCAGCAATACACGACTAAGATGGTTAATTTATTTTATTATGTTATTGTTTGTAATATTCTATTTTCAGTTGAATATGTGCGTGGTAAACCAAGAGAGATGTGTGAATTGTTGATGCACTCAAGTCACAGTCTGCAATAGGTAGTGCTTGTATGTGGTATATCAGTTGCTAATGTCCCTGGTTTTGCCTATGCTAGAGTAAAACCCAGTGAATTAAAGAATTGATTTGAGTCACTCACTCATAAATCTTCAGATTGTGACTTTTACTCAATCTTGGCTGAAACAGAAGCCAAGAATCAACATCAGTAAAAGTATGCTTTCCAGCAGTGATCGACTGGAAGATGGTTAGTTGATTTTATTGTCTGATTGTTAGTGATCTTCTATTTTCAGGATTGTGAATTTCCCCGGGATCAGGGGTACCATAGAGGGCGAATGCGGGGGGGGGGGGGTGCTCTAATTATATACTGAAAATGATGCTTTGAAATCTGCTCCTTGATATTAATCAAACATTTATGCTGAACAAGGATGCCTTTCCTAAATTGTGAAATGTGTGGACCTAAGGTCAGGGGTTCCTGTTCCTGTGGGATGAGGCACTGCTGATTATGGTTTTTGTGTCCCCCTTCTCTGCCTATGGGTGATTAGTAACCAAATTAAACATGCTATAGTGTTATGCTAAGTGTATAGTTATGATGAGCACTGGTGCCTCTTTCAAAATTGTGAATGCCATGACGTCTACTTTAAAACATGAACGAAATTCAATTGTTGGAAAGTTGTTGCATGATGCTCAGGTGACCTATAAGGCCCATGGGCCTCTTGTTTTTATTATGTAGTAGTATTAATTCCACTTTTGCCTGCTTATAAAGTCTCCCAACTTTTACTCAAGAGCTTACTCTGAGTATGATCCACTTTTAGAGCAAGGCATGCTAATCAATGAGAAACTGATGCTAAAGGGGTTTCAACAGTCGGCATTTTTGTTAATTTGTTAGTTGACACATGTATAATGAAATTGTTAACAAATGCATAAACAAATCTCTGGGTCGTACTTTGGTTGATTTGTTTCATAAAAATTAATTTGTAGTCCTTTGTATTTAGCTCTACTTGTCAGGGACCAGAAGAGCTTATGCGATAGTAATGCGTCCGGCGTCCGTCCGCCTGTCCGTCTGTCTGTAAACAATTTTTTAAAATGCTACTCCTCCTACAGTTTTGGTCTGATTTCAATGTAACTTGGCACACAACATGCACAAGTAGACTACACTAAGATACATAATTCTGTTTATCGGTTTTTGAATTCGATGAACGGTGTTGCCGTGGTTACTAAAAATAGAAATTTCTCTGAAATTGTTTCAAAATGCTACTCCTCCTACAGTTTTGGTCTGATTTCAATATAACTTGGCACACAAGTAGACTACACTGAGATACATAATTCTCTTTATCGGTTTTTGATTTCGATGAATGATGTTGCCGTGGTTACTAAATAGAAATTTCTGTGAAATTGTTTCAAAATGCTACTCCTCCTACAGTTTTGGTCTGATTTCAGTATAACTTGGCACACAAGTAGATTACACTAAGATACATAATTCGGTGTATCGGTTTTAAATTTTTATGAATGATGTTGCCATGGTTACTAAACATACAACTTTCTTTGAAATACTTTCAAAAAAATACTCCTCCTTCAGTATTGTTCTGATTTTCATTGTAATTTTGCACAGAAGTAGACTACACTAAGGCCTGGCCCCCCCCCCACTTTTTCTCCCAACATTACCTTTATAGAAAATGTCTAATGAAAAGGTGGTTGGTCCCCACTTTTTACCACAGTATATACATTGCAAGAAAATGTAGGAAAAAATTGGAAGTGAAAGGAAGTTTGCCTTGAAAAAAGTTGGCTACTACCCCCCCCCCCCCCCCCCCCCCCTACGAAATAGGATTTTCGAGTTTGGTTTTTTTTTTTTTTTTTTTTTTTTTTTGCTTGTCAACTTTTTTTTGGTAAGTAAAAAAATTTTTTTCTCAGGTTGGCCCCCCCCCACTTGCAAAAACGATGCTACGTGCCTGAAGATACCCAATTCTATTTATCATATTTTGATTTCAATGAACATTATTGCCTTGGTTACTAAAGATAGAAATTTCTGTAAAATACTATCAAAATGCTACCCAAAATACAGTTTTAATCTGATAATAATATAATGTGGCATGCAAATAGACTACACTAAGAACATAAAGAGACTTAATCAAGGATCATTATTCTATGTATTGCTGTTGTAAAGTTTCAATTCCCAACTGCTACTTTTCTCTTCCTTTGCTATACCGGTAAGTAAAAACTAGTACAGCTTCAGTCTCGACAGAGACTTCTGGTTTTACTAGATTTGTCTACGGAAAGTTCCGTCTACCTGATCAATACAAAGGGCTGTGGCCGGTCAACGGGGGATACTTACCCCCCCCCCCCCCCCCCCTTAGGCATCTGATCTACCAGCTCTCGAATTTCCAGGGTTCCCTGATTTAGGCTATTGCCTTCTTCACATATTTTCTCTGAGATCGATAATACTGATCGTCATCTTCACGTTTTACATGTAACCTGATAATGGATCTTACTAGTGTATACGCCATGATAGGTAGTATTGAAAAATTCAATCTAAATAATGAAGGACATTTAGACATGAAATCAGGAAACTAAAAAAGTGTTACATATCTAGAATGACGGCAGACGAATCCTTAAATCTGAGAGTATATATGGTTGTTTAAATTTAGGATTTTTCAGTTGCAATACTTTGTGAATATGTCATAAAAATATTCCACTTAAAATTATTTCAAAAGTGGCAACGAACCCTTGGGTACTTAACATCGGGGCAAGGCACTTGTTTTGTTAATTAATTTTTAACGCACAGTATAATAATGAAATCCTTAGGGTTTAAAATTTATTACCGAAACAAGTGCCGGGGGGGGGGGGGGTCCGTCCCCAAGTACCTGTGTTTACTGCAGTTCATCAATGTGATAATCATATTAAATAGAAAAAAAAAAAAAGAAAAAAACACAAAATCTTGATTTCCTTACAAGTTGTGCAGCATAGTGGTAATAATTTAAAATATCGTCCTACAAAAGAAAACTAAAACTTATAGCGAGGAGTGATTATTGTTTGAAGTTTACCTAACATAGTCGTCGCAATAACAGTACCGGGTAATATACTTTTTTCTTTATTTTAATTACATGTAGGCCTATGTTTTTTAAAAGAAATGTAGAGAAAAAAAATAAATGTAGCGGAAAAAAAACATTTTGATAAATAAATTGAGCAAACAGTTTAGAGTAGTTCAGTAAATATTTTTTATTAAGAAAAAAAAAAAGAAAATTAAATAAAGACAAATCCCGAAAAAAAATTATAAAAGGAGCAGTGCCTGAATAACTTTTTGCGCGACATACTTTACACAACTCTTTTGTCAACGAAAGGAAGAAAAGGTATGATAAAGTTGATGGATGGCAAGGAAAGAAGATTTATTTGGTTTGCATAAATTATTTCTCTAAAACATAAATAACTATTTAAAATTTATGCGATTTAAACACCTGATATGTTAACTGTATACTTTATTTTTACAGCAAACACCTCCATTGAGCATTTAAAGGTCGCAGTTGCCTTAGCTTGCATCAGGTCCAAACCAAATTGGCAGTCTGCTAGAGAGTATGCCGAGCAACTGTGTGCCCAGTATCGTGCCGAAGAGAGTAGATGGAAACAAAAGTATGAACAGGCAGAGATGACAATCTTAAAGTTGAAACAAGCACAAGAATTACAATCATTTATAAATATTTCTGGTGGGTACTTAAAATATGGTGTAGGTAAATTGTGTGGATAAACTGAAATCGCTAGATTTCATGTTATTTTCAGCAAGAAATAAAAATCAGTTTTGGCGATATCATCCATGTATACATTAATTTTTTTAAATGATATTTTTTATCCAAAAGCCTTTATTTACTGTAAATACATTAACAAAAATATTTTATCCAAGAAACCAAGAACTTGTACAAGGATATAATGTTAGCCTCTTCTCTTAAAAACTTTGCAGACATAAACATTAACTAAGCATATATTATAGTAATATATATTTTTTTAATATATTTTGTGTAAAACTTATCCAATCCCTTTCAGGTTTAGCTGATTTAATTCCATTTGTCTCATTTGACAACACCTCTTCACAAAATCAAAATGAGGAAGCAATGGAAGTTGATGAAAATGCTGAGCACATAAAGCACAACACAGATTTTATTAGAAGCTACCTCATGTTGAAGCAGCTCAATAGGGAAACAACTCAGAAACCCATACTGGGCAGTGCAATTCACTCCACACTTTCAAATTCCTTATACTTGATTGGTAAAAGTATTCTCGAGAATGAAGTTTTATCCATCCCAATAATCGCAGATTATTTCCAAGTCATTGGTCAGCTAAGTTCTTCAATGGCGAAGAATTTCCCACTGCTCCAAGTGCAAGAACTTGTGCAAGTCATTATTGACAGAACTCTGAGAGGTGATAAACTTGAGGTAGGAATTGCTTTAATGTTTACGTTTACTGTCTACATGTGTAGATTGTTTATGCCCATAGACAGTTTTTCCCACTTTTTCAAAGACAAGTTGTACCATATAAGCAGAAATTTTCGCGAGGATTTAATTTTGGCATTATTAGCGAGGGTGCTGAGATAGCTAAAATTTAATATCGCTGAAAATTAATTGTGTTTTATTTGTAAAAGCTTCTTTAGTGAACATTTTAAAATCGCTAAAATTGCATTTCGCTAAAAATAAAATACCCAGTTTTTAAGGACAAATCTCTAAATTTGCGTCACGCTAAAATTTCCACTTATACGATATTATAGGCAAATAACCCTTTCTGTTTGAATTTGTTCACGGAGGACAAGAATAGAACTGGAGCAGTAATTTTGTGTGTTACGATCTTTTATGCACATTTTTTTTGCAACAGTTTGCCTCAATTTTATAATCACAAAAATTGTGTAAATTTAAAACTAGGCTTCATGGTAATTCTCAATGGACTTAAAAGTTGCAAAATAGAGTTGATTTCTTGAAGATTTAACATTTTCGAGTACATCATGTACTATTAAAATACAGGATTTATTAAGTTTCAATTACAACAATTAAAATGTAGTTGTACATGTACCAAATAAAGTGTTGAAATTTGTTCTTTTCATAGAGAAAACAGCAGAGAGAGTTAATCCTTACACTAAAACACCTTTTGATCCCTCAAATGAGAGACCACATCTTAGACAGTTTGTTGGCAGCAATTGAGAGTTTTTCCACTCATTTAAGGACAGTGACCCAAAGTGAAACATCCCTGGATACAATGCTGTATGAGAATATCTATTATGTCTTTGAAATGCTTCAAATTGTCCTTAAAGATCTAAAGGATCAAGGTAGTGGTATCACATCAGGAGAAGTTAATCCAAGTCAGAGATCTGCAAGTAGTGACCACAGGCTTCAGACAGCACGAATTTTGTCTGAGGTCAGTGAGAGACTTGATAAATGTGTTTTGTATATTTCAGATAGCTTTCCATTGTTTGTCTGTAAAATATGGCTAATCAAGTGTAATTTGTTGTAATCATGCTAAATAAATAGCATTTTTAGAGTTATGTCTTATAGTCTCAGCTTACATACAGCACACTTAAAAAAAATTGTGCACATTTACATACAGGTATGATAGGAATACTGTAAAATCACGTTTTCGTGGGGTCAAATTTTCAAGGTTTGAGGGAAAAAAAATTGTGGGGATTTGATTTCGCGGTTGAAAATTTTTTTTAGTTGTAATGCTTATGAAATTTTACATTTTGTGGTGGATATAAATTTGTGGGTCTATCCATACCTCGAAAATTAAACCCCCCATGAAAATTAGTGATTTCACAGTAGACTTTTACGGATATAAATCAATAAATTCTATATATCATGGATATAAATAAAAGAATGGATTCTGAGTATCATATTTCCTTTAAGCATAATTTTTTCGTGGAAGAATAGACCCTTTTCCTATGGCATATTTTCCCTAGGATTTATTCCCCCTTAGCCGCCATCTTTGTAGGGCAAAGTAGTGAATTTACCTCTTTGAGCAACCAATTTTAAACATGCATGCAAGAAATGTAGAAGGGAAAATATTTACAATCTTAAAATTATGAATTAATAGAGGCTTTGACATTTGTATATTCATAAGAAAAATAGTGCTATCTTTACCTCAGTAACCAGTATAACAAATTGAACTTGGTTGAATAATGAAGGGATCTGGATATGTTGCCATACAATATGGCGGCTAAGGGGAATAACTCCTAGACAAAATATGTCATAGGAAAAGGGTCTATAGCATGATCTATATGATATGCTGGAGAAAAGAAGAGTGGACTTTATTATAATTAATTTATTTCACATCACATAAAAGGCTCAGGAACTACATAGTTACAGTACATACTAACTAAACAACACTAAATCATAATTATGAACACAAGTCGAGGTAGTCTGGCAGAAAATGTCCTGTCATTACTTTTTAAGAAAACTTTTGTGGAATTTCTTAGCTTGTTTCTAATCCACTTTTGACTTTTTCTTGCTAGGTGAAGAATTTGACTCAGATTTTCTTTTCTTGCTGGGAGAGGAAACTGATCCAGATTTTCCTTTTTCACCTAAAAAAATTATATTATTTGAAAATGTATCAAGCAAACTTTTAACTTTTGTTGAGCAAACCAGCTCTTTTCACGAACACTGGTTCATAGAGGAAATTTCCATTAGAAGTAAATCCATATCCTTCTTCAAATAGCAATATATTATTCATTTAACAAGTTGACCTGATTACAAAAATATATACCAAATTTGATATTGAAAGAAGAACTAAACATTTCATACAGTCATCTGTCTTTATAATACTTACCTGAGTTTTCAGATTTATTAGCACTGTAAGCTTTAGCCATTCTTTCTATATTCCTCTTCCTCATTACATCATGGTCCACAATAGGTTTAGGGTAGTCTTTTCCTATGATGCATCCTGCCTTTTCCTGAACCTTTAGGGGTGCTTTCCATGGCTCATATATATAGATTGTTGGATATTTACTAAGTTTGGGAATATATTTCCTGGAAAAGAATAACACTTTTCCTATTATAAAATGCATTTTCAACAGTTATAGCTAAAATTTCAAAATTTATTTTTCCATTCTAACAAATATTTAATTACCCCCGGTAGGATCTTTCTAATGATCATCAAAAATTTAACAGCCAGTCGTCGAGATACAAGACAGATTTAGAGCTCCAAACCTTTGTTATGTAAACAAGGTCTGAGTAATGTTTTTGTTTACATAGGTTAAAATTCTAATATATGTTCGTTAAAAGTAGATAATTTCAATAAAAAGTTAGTTTTAAATACGATTCGGCAGTTTCTATTGATTTGCTGAATTTCATTTTGTTATAAATATGATATTTTCTATATGTAAACAAAAACAAGGTACAAGCCTTGTTTACATTATGAAGAACTTTAAGCTCTGTATCTCGTTTGTTAATCAACAAATGATGTTCAAATTTTTGCTTATCATCAGATGATGCCTTAGGTAGGAATTGTAAACATTCAAGGTGGTTCAAAAAATTCAGTTGGAACTGTGTCCATGCAAGCCCCTTTGACTATTGAAAACTTAGATAATTAAAATTACTGTTAAAAGCAGTTATGAATGAAATTGAAGTATGAATTTTAACATTTACCCACTCTACCTTGGTGATAAAAAATGACTTTTGAAGAGAAATAAGAATATGTATTCTGCACATCATTTTACAATTGAGATACACTAAGAAGACCCATTGATCTAACGGTCATACCTGATATAGTTCCCATCTTTATCTGTCTTTTTGCCAAATGCAACAGGACTGTACACCCTGAAGTACTGATGAAAGAAGGCGGAGGCTGAGAGCCACATCCAGTTCCCAGCATTCAGGCTCCAGTCTGCATCCAACAGGTACTCCTCAAAAACCTAAAGATCAAAATACAAATGCACTCAGCTTTGAATTACCAGTAATTACTATCAATGCTTTCTGTCTGCTTACTTTTCCAAGTTTTCTATAAAAATAAGCAAATTGGCTAAGAATTAAATTTTTAAATTTAAGCAGTGCAATTTTTTTCTACTAAAATCTTTTTGAGGAGGTATCAAACATAACTGATTCTGTTGGTGTATCACATTATCCACTGAGCATTTATTCATTTCAATAAAAACAAGACCCTTCCACTAGTCTCTGAACAGTGCTTTAGTGTAGTCAGCTTACCTTCTCCCCCTCCTCCCAGCTGATCCACAGGTCCCCCCGTGTTAAGAAGCAGGCCACAGCATGTCTGGCTAGATGATGTACCCACCCTTCTTGTCGTAGCTGAGTCATTATGGCATCAATGAATGGATAACCTGTTTTCCCCTATAATAACATCAGAATTCTTCATGTATCTGTATGTGTTTTGGCATGTGTTATAGCATAGGCACAACACTACAATACTTAGATGACGAGATGCTTGTAAAACACTTATACCCCTCCCCCTGAAATAACTGGAATTTTTCTAAGTCCAAGGGACATAACTCTGTCAGAAATGCCTCGATCATACCCAGAACAGAACTTGACTTAACATATTCTTATGATAAATCTCTATACCAAATTTTATTTCAATATGTGCAACCTCTGCAAAGAAAGTTAACGGAAACTTCTGCAAAGAAAGTTAACTGAAACTACAAACAATTGGAATTTTTTCTAAATCCAATGGGCATAACTCTGTCTAAAATGGTCCGATCGTACCCATAACAAAAACTTGTCCTAGACCTTTTAATGATTTATCTGCATACCAAATTTCATATATATATATGCACAATCTCAGCAAAGAAAATGAACAGAAACTTCAAATAATTGGAAATTTTCTAAGTCCAAGGGGCATAACTCTGTCCAAAATGGCCCGATCATACCAAAAACAGACTTGACCTAGATATTCTTATGATAAATTTGTATGCCAAATTTCATTTCATTTCAATATGTGCAACTTCTGCGAAGAAAACGGTAGACCAACAGACTGACCAACCGACAGACAGCAGCAAAGCAATATGCCCTCCGCTCTTCGAAGCAGGGCATAAAATTATTGTTTTTTCAAGATTTGTCAATAGCTATCTCATAGAAAGAATGATCTTTCCCATAAGATTTACATGTACAAAGCCACAAGTATACATTGACTGAGCTTATATAAATGTGCCTTTTTTGACTTCTGGTAGTAAATTTTAAGAACATTTTCATGTTGTACAATTTTTGCGCTTTACCTCTTTCCAAGCCGTCAGATAAACTTCATTGGTGTCCCAGGGGATCTGCCTAGACACTGGGTTTCCCTCCATTTGATTGAAGTTAGGTGTGTCTGCTGCAGCAGTGTAGAAAAATTCCCTCCACAGCAGCTGACCGTGCAAGGAGACTGGAGGAGAGGTGTGCTTCTACACAGAAACAAGATTAAAATTCAGCTCAGAGGTATGATTCTAAAGTTAAATTACTAGAATGAAGAAAACAATGATCCATCCTTTTAAATACTTTTTAAACCCAAAACACACTGTGTTAATTGTTAGTTGTTAATTAGCATTTTATTCAAAGATTAAAACCTTTCAAAATTTTACATTTCTTTCAAAAGAACAAACTGTTTTAGATTTTTGGACTGCCGAGTACTTTAAAGAATCTCTTAGTTAGCCATTTATATACATAGTTACTGAGTAAAGAATTTTCATGAGGATACTCACTGAAGTGCTATTTCAATAATTTATATTCAATGAAATATTAAAAAAAGCAAACATCACTCTAAAAACATACTATAAATGAAATAAGTTATAAAGATGTGTAAAAAAAAATTTCACCTTGGCCTTACTGTAGACCTCTTGGAGTTTGTAGTAGAAAAGTCTAGGAGACAGACAACCAAACTTTAGATAGGGACTGAGAACAGTTGTACTTGGTTCTAAGGTGTTAGGTTCTGTCTTTGGTTTCTCAAATGTGCAAATCCAGTTCTGCAAAATTCATTTCATTTAAAAAGAAAACATGGTCAGTTATCTACATTGATTCTATCACATAAATTAGCAAATTTCACTGCAGTATGGCAGGTAATGAAAGTAGATGACAATAAACTACAGCAATATTAACAGTCAAAGAAAAACATTTCATTAAACTTTATACACTTCAATTACAAGAACTTTATCAATCCAAATGATGAAAACCTAATTTAAATGTGAGATAATTTTTCAAATAAAGTGATTACATTTTTCTGAATCATGGACTCCATTCTCCTCAGGGCCTCTGTTTCTCCTCCTGGGAACAGAAGAGGGCCACAGTCCGCCTCAGACTTCCCTAGATCCTCAAGGGAGGGAACTCCGTACTTCTTGTCGTGATCTGACTCTGTCGTAGTCTTACATTCTATAAAGCATAAAATATCACAGAGAATTATGTCCAGAGTATTTAGCAGGATGTGGTTCAGAACACCTACCTTGAAATCTAGATTTTGAATCTAGAGATAAGAGATTTAAAGCATCCCTTTTTAGCTCACCTGCGCCGAAGGCTCAAGTGAGCTTTTCTGATCACATTTTGTCCGGCGTCCGTCTGTCCGTAAACTTTTCACATTTTTGACTTCTTCTCAAGAACCACTGGGCCAATTTCAACCAAACTTGCCACAAAGTATCCTTGGGTGAAGGGGATTCAAGTTTGTTCAAATGAAGGGCCACGCCCTCATTCAAGGGGAGATAATTGGGAATTAGTGAAAATTTGGTGGCATGTTTTAAAAATCTTCTCAAGAACCACTGTGCCAGGAAAGATAAAACTTATGGGGAAACATCCTCAGGTAGTGTAGATTCAAGTTTGTTCAAATCATGACTCCGGGGGGGGGGGGGGGGGGGGGGGGGGGGGGGAAGGGGGGGCCAAAATGGCCGATCAAAGTTTTACATAGAAATATATAGGAAAATTCTTTAAAAATCTTCTTCTCAGGAATAGCAAAGCCATAATTGCTCATATTTATATGGAAGCATCCTCAGGTAGTATAGATTCAAGTTTGTTCAAATCATGACCCCCGGGGGTCGGGCGGGACCACAATGGCCGACCAACATTTTACATTGAAATATATAGGAAAATTCTTTAAAAATCATCTTCTCAAGAATCACAAAGCCATGAGGCCTTATTGCTCATATTTATATGGAAGCATCCTCAGGTAGTGTAGATTCAAGTTTGTTCAAATCATGACCCCCGGGGATAGGGCGGGGCCACAATGGCCGACCAACATTTTACATAGAAATATATAGGAAAATTCTTTAAAAATCTTCTTCTGAAGAATAGCAAAGCCGTAATTGCTCATATTTATATGGAAGCATCCTCAGATAGTGTAGATTCAAGTTCAAATCATGACCCCCTGGTGATAGGGCGGGGCCACAATGGCCGACCAACATTTTACATTGAAATATATAGGAAAATTCTTTAAAAATCTTCTTCTTGAGAATCACAAAGCCATAATTGCTCATATTTATATGGAAGCATCCTCAGGTAGTGTAGATTCAAGTTTGTTCAAATCATGACCCCCCAGGGTAGGGCGGGGCCAAAATGGCCGATCAAGGTTTTACATAGAAATATATAGGAAAAATCATCTTCTCAAGAATAGCAGAGCCATAATTGCTCATATTTATATGGAAGCTTCCTCAGGTAGTGTAGATTCAAGTTTGTTCAAATCATGACCCCCGGGGTAGGGCAGGGCCAAAATGGCCAATCCAAGTTTTACATAGAAACATATAGGAAAATTCTTTAAAAATCATCTTCTCAAGAATAGCAAAGCCATAATTGCTCATATTTATATGGAAGCATCCTCAGGTAGTGTAGATTCAAGTTTGTTCAAATCATGACCCCCGGGGGTAGGTCAGGGACAAAATGTCCGAAGCAAGTTTTACATAGAATTAATAGAAAAATTCTTTAAAAATCTTCTTCTCAAGAATAGCAAAGCCATAATTGCTCATATTTATATGGAAGCATCCTCAGGTAGTGTAGATTTAGGTTTGTTCAAATCATGACCCCCGGGGGTAGGGCAGGGCCATACTGGCCAATCCAAGTATATAGGAAAATTCTTTACAAAATCATCTCAAGAATAGCAAAGCCATGATTGGTCGGGACTGCTTTTGGATTTAAACTTTTCAATAATGAACCCATTTATTCTTTTTCCAGCCACAATGCTCAGGTGAGCGATGTGGCCCATGGGCCTCTTGTTTACATATATATTATTCCTCTTTTACAGGCACATTCTATACGGTTTCATATTTTTATCTTGATATAGAACATAAGATCTTATGAGATCTACCTGTAGGGCTGTCAGTTGGTTTGGGAGGGGGACCAAGACTAGACAATACAGTCTGAAGGCGCTGATAAGTTAAAGGAGCCTTTCCACCATTCTTTGATATTGTCCTGCAGATGAAAAATAAAGTCAGACCACCATTTAAATACACATGTATAAATGAACCACAGTCTCGGAAAATTGTTTAATTTTCATACTATATCAAGTTAGAGTTTTAAAGGTGTCATTCAGCAATAATTTATGGGAACACTCATCAGTATTTTTTATGTTGGCTTCTATGTCATAATATATTTGAAAACAGAGTTAGTGAATTTTGTTTTACTTGATCATAGAAGTACAGGTATTTGTAGCTGCAGATCTATAGCGTCTTGGTTTAATATATTTGTCTTTGACCATAACGCTTCAGATCCCGTAATGTAAAAAAGGTGCAATTTACAGCGCAAAATATTTTGCGTACTTTTGGGGAGAATTTCCCCACTTTCGCATTTGTCAATTAAGTACCTTTTCCTCCCTAATTCTAAGCACATTATTTAACTAATCTGTATATTTTATCCATCTCCTAACCCTTTATAGTCGTCTTTACAATTAAATGATAAATTCGCTTGATTAAAATTATTTTTTAGATTGCTGAAAATTCACTTCAAGCGAGTTTATTGTCTGTAGAGACAACTATGAATGGTTGGGAGGTGGATAAAATATAAATTTTGGCTCAAAATATGTCTAGAATTGGGGAGTTTAAGGTAGTTGATTGACCAGTTCTAGTAAATGGAGAAATTCTCCCCAAAAGTGCAGAAAAAATATTGCGCCATAAATTGCATCTTTTTTGCATTACGGGATCTGTAGCGTTATGGTCAAAGACAAATATATAAAACCATAATGCTACAGATCTGCAGCTAAGGTATTTGTATCTGGGTGATATTGGCCAGAAAAAAATGGTTCATAATTTCTTTTTTTTTCTATTAACCTTAACTTTAACTACAAATTGCAGCAAAAAATCCTTTTCAAATTAGAAAACTTTCAAGAAAGTGCATAATTTTGGACAACTACCAGAGTCAATGTCTAGAATGGGATGTAAAGATCTTTACTGCAGGCTTGTGGAATCCAATTTTCCAAGAATTATCCATTTACACAGTCCAGTCCAATACGAAAATTCGTAATGTTACGAAAAAATGTAAGATTACGAGAAAGTGTAATATTACAAGTTATCGTAATATAAAACTTATATTACAATTTTTCGTAATGTAGTTAAATTACGAATATGCGTAATATTGCAGATTGTAAGAGACTATATTACGAGTTTTCGTAATCCAAGACAAATTCAAGCATTGCAAGAAATTGAGTGGTGGGTAGCAAAGTATGATGTCAGTAATATATCAGATTCCACATCTACTGATAGCACGCGGTCAGTTTGGTCAGTTACGCCTATCAGAAAGCATGGAAATTCAAGAAGAAAGTACCGCCAGCGATGGGTGAGTGGACAATTTCTTTTATTATTCTTTTATAGGAATTTTCCCAAGGATAAGACCAATTTTCCAGTAAATTTAAATATTCGCTTAAGCATGTAGCATTGATCCATATCACCCGAACTCCCTGCTTTTTTTGCGAAGTCTACCCTAAAAATCACACCCTCGTCTCATAATACAACTGTTCGTGCACATTCTTCTTGAAATACACAGAATTCAAATCTCAGTAAGAGTCATACAAGTTATCATCCGTGACATCTCGTAGTAAACGTCATACTTTGCTACCCGCCACTCAATTTCTTGCAATGCTTGAATTTGTCTTGGATTACGAAAACTCGTAATATAGTCTCTACAATCTGCTGTATTATGCGTATTCGTAATTTAACTACATTATGAAAAATTGTAATATAAGTTTTATATTACGATAACTTGTAATATTACGCTTTCTCGTAATCTTACGTTTTTTTCGTAATATTACGAACTTTCGTATTGGACTGGACTGTTACATGTATTTCTTTTTCAACTTGTATGCAGTGATAAAGTCAACTATATTCTACTTCGTCACAAACCTTTGAGTGTCATATAGTGTGTGAGAGACACAACTAGTGACCTTGACCTTGTGCTGTTCTGCTAACTTCGTTATCTCAGCATCCCTCTTTACAGCATATGGTTCTGTGTCCTCCTCAAAAGTCAGGTGACTGACTCCCCAGTCTTTAAATAACTGGGGAAACACTTCTGCAGGTTTTCCACGCACAACATACAGTCTTTATGAAAAATTAAAACAAAAATGCTTGAAACTGAAATTTGATTATTATGTGAAGTATGCCTTGCAAATGTTCTTTTTCATTTAAATTAACTGTCAAAGTGTTTCCAAACAAAGGCCTAAATATCTTATTCGTAAACTTTGTTGAATTAATTATAAACCCATTATTACCATAATGAAAAATATGAGAAAGTGCTTAGTTTTAAAATATATTCATTTATTAATTGGGACCATACACTTAATTAATGACTTATTTTTACAAGATTATTCTAGCTATTTTGCACCATTTGAAATTAAAAAAGGAAATTAAAAAAAGCTTTACCGTGAATTTATCTTTTTCAGATTGTCATCCAAGTTTTGTAGTGTCTGTAACAAAAATCTCCATCTGTTTATCCCTACGTTGGCATTCTTGGGAAACCATGGGTCCAGGATGAAGACAGGTTTGACATCTTCTGCAATCTTAATTGCCGCTAGTAATGCTGGATTGTCATGAAGTCGGAGTCCTTTACGGAACCAATGGATAGCACAAGTCTTCATTTTTAGTTTTATCAATGAAAAATACAGCTTAAACTAGTCGAAAACGGTGAAGTTTTACAAGTTACATGTTCAACTTACGTAACCCGAGAAAAATGGCGGGAATGATCGAAATTTGGAGAATGTCGAACCCGATTTGAGAAACATTTAAAATCTGTTTAAAAATATTAATTTCTATCTTGGTATTGCTGTTGAATAATGTATATCAATTTTAATTATTTCAATATCTATGGCTGAATATCAGGAAATGTGATAAAATTTTAATGAATTACTGAAAGAATTAGAAAAATAATCTTTTGGATATTTTACTGTTAATTAGCCACATCTTTGTTGAATGCAATCGGGATAGAAATCCGATTTGGCATATCATCTTCCGGTCGTTGGACCCACGCTATCTAAATTTTTCAAAACCATTTATTTTATCGAGAATTTTCATTTTATGGCATTCTGTATAGTTTAAGTATCAAAAATGGTTACAATAGAAGTACTGTACAAAGATTTTGGGGTTCTTGCAGATGCTAAAGACAAAGCTGGCCAGGTAGGAACAATGAAGTTGAAAGACCAAGAGCAACCGGTGCAAATCATGAACGAAAGTAGATTTAGAAAGTTATTTCATCGAAATAGATTCATTGGCTAACCTTAATTTTAATGGACAATATGTCAAAATAATATGTTTTACGGTGTGACCGTTGGGGCGAGCGCAGTTTACTTACTATCATAAACCTACACACGTACTGTCTATCATTCAAGAAAAAGAAAGCAAAAAGAATAAAACAAAAAACAAAGAAATCATTTCCCAAGCATCGGGATCAAGATTCGAAAATTCTCGGAAGTTTCCGACAAAATCGTAAATATCCGAACCGTTGAAGTGACAAAAGTCTGACGTCAGAATGAGCTAAAAAGTTCTGTTAACTTAGAACGCAAACTTTATTTTTATGGAGAAACGATTGCATTAATAAATTGTTCTTTTCATGTAAGTTGCTTTGTTGAAGCCGAGTTTCACGGAAGCAACCGACATAACTTCGTCAAAATTCGTAAGTTTCCGGTGACGTCATTTGTATCATTTCCGAAGGGCAAGGTGAAGGCCGGTGTTGTGTCATGGGGGTATATTTTTGAATAAGGTAAGGCAAAATCATTTCGTTAAGATTTCGGTAAGAAACAATGTTCCTTTAATTTTTTCACTATTTTTGATTTATTCGCGCAAAGGTCATTGGGTAGTGCGGGAATTCTGGGAAGGTTTCACAGAGAAATTTCGCTGACGTATGTACAGATTTCAATCCGAATTTCCTCTGTTCATACACGTTAGTCTATTGAGCTCGCTTCGCGAGCGTCGCTTCGCGACGCTCGCTGCGCTCGCTATAAGTTTCTTTTTTTTCTTTTTAAAGCATGAAAAGGAGTACCTGTCCATTCTTAGTGCTACAAAAGGGGGACCTGGGGAAAAGAGATTGGCATCACAGTTCATCACTCGCTTCTTCAAGTACTTTCCAAATCATGCAGGGACAGCCATTAATGCTATGTTTGATTTGTGTGAAGATGATGATGCAATGGTATGTATATTCGAGTTATCTTAACAAATTGTGGCAGTCAGCTGGGTTTGATTGCCAGTGGCCAGATAGCTCAGTCGTTAGAGCACCTGACTGGATGTTGAGGGGGCCCAAGTTCAAATCCCGATCTGGTCCACAGCATTTCTCTTCTCCCGTTTCAAAATGAATGATTGTATTGTCAAGTCTTTGGATGTAGGATGTATTACTTAGAGGAAATAGAACTGAACCAACTTATAACAGTCCTTTATTTCATCTTATTTCCAGACACGTAAACAAGCCATTAAAGACTTGCCGACTTTGTGTAAGTCAGCCCCTGACCAGGTCTCAAAGATTGCCTCTGCCCTGACACAGCTGATGGGGACAGATGATGCTACAGAGAACAGTCTTATACAAAGCTCATTTATATCACTCTTCAAATTTGATTCTAAAGGTACATCGATAATTGCATTTTAATTAGAATAGTGAAATAGTTTATAAGGTGAATGTCTTTTAAAGGTTTTCCATATTAGATGGACAGATTTATCTTATCCAAATTTATTGTCTATGTCATTTATTAATATAACTAAACAATTCACTACTGACAGACAGATAAACCAATGTATCCATATTCTGTCTAAACATAAAATATCCTCTGTTGAAAAAAAAGTGCAATCATTAAATCTCGAAATATAGAGGAAGTATAGTTTTGTGTATAGAAATTATTTATCTTTTTTTTCAATTATTGTAATAATGTGAAAAAAATACATTTTTCTGTTACATCAATAGGTGCATTAGAGGGAATCTTTGGTCAGATTTTGGGAGATGATGAAACTGTACGAGAGAAAGCAATCAAATTTTTGGGAGCTAAGATCCGAACTCTACCAGAGGACACATTTGACAGCCATTCTGAAGAATTACTCATCAACATGTGCAAGAAAGTAAGTTGAAAATAGCTCCTGCAACAACTGGGTTGATTCCAACCATAACCGTGTTGTCAATTCTGCTTCCTATGTAAATTGATGTAAACCGTATTTGTGGAGAGTTATACAGTAAACATATTATATTTGGCTTGGTTCAAAAATCAATTTTCTTCATATTGTGCATGCTAAAAAAATGTACTGCAACAGTATCTCTTTGATGCCGATGTGTTACATTTTTGTGTATGAAATACTGTAAAATGACATAATTTTGTGGGGTCAAATTTTCATGGTTTGAGGAAAAACTCTTGGTATGTGGGGATTTGATTTTGTGGATGAATCGTTGAGTAGTTATGAATGTAACATTTTACATTTCGTTGAGGACATGAATTCATGGATCTCTTCATACCTCAAAAATGAAAATTAACCCCCAACAAAAATTTGTGACTTCACAGTTAACATATTTTCTTCTCTCTAATCAGGTGCTACAAGATGTTACTAAAGATGAGTTTATTGCTATAATGGAGATCCTGAAATGTCAGAAAACCATGACAACAGTCCAAGGGAGGCAACAGCTGGTAGACATTGTGACAGAACAAGCAGAATTGGACCAACCTTTTGAGGTATAGAATTCTAAATTTAGAAGATTAATTACCTCTTGATTTACCTCTCTCTCATCTGTAAAGATCCAATTGTAGATTTGAATTCATTTGTTATGAACCATAACCTGTCTGGCTTATGTTCAGTACAGATACTGTAAATATAAAGAAAACAAAGTGTTGTTTTTTTTTGCCATAGAGATTGATATAAATATAATTGATACAAATGTAGCTAAATTAAGGTTCATAAGCCCTCTGCTCACTCAAAATAAAATAATGCTGTAACTCTTATAATTTTCCAAAGAAAAATAAATTCTTAGTTAAATTCAAACAATTATAGCATGGCTTACAGCTCAAAATTGGACAAAAAAGACACTTCAACTTGACAAAGAAAGTGGACGCTTTAGATGGCGATTCGGCAGGAATTGTGGCTCATAAAAAGAATTAAAAAATATCATTGATTTATACATTTCTTTCAAAACGTAGCTAATGACTGTGTCTTAGGTGAATGTAAAATGGGCAAATATTCAGTTAAATATGATTTTATTTGAATATGCACCTGAAAATAGCTATACGAGTCAAATGATGCAAAAATCGACTCTTTTATAGCCGTTTTTCATTAATTTTGTTGTTTCTGGGTCTTTTCTCCATGAATTTTAAATGCGTTATCAGTGTATTTTTAACCGTAAAATTTATTCCAGTTGTTTAAAAAATGTAGAGACGACCCAAAAATACCAAAATCTAAACTTTTTCCATTTATTTTCTGGTAGTAAATTGACAAAGTCCAATTGTACAGGGCTTTGGCTTTAAATAATGATTTAAATACTAGCTACGCATGGTGTCCCGCGGTAGGTACATTGGTTTGTTGCTGGATTCGAGCCCTATCGAAGCAGCATTTTAGGTTCAAATAAAGTGATTTTTTATTTATTTATTTTTTTGCTTGAAATTTTTGAATTGGTAGTGAAAAAATACTACTTGAATAAAGTTGCAAATTATGCTTTATAAATTATTTTATATTAATTGTTTTATTTTTTCAATGCGTTCACATACATGTATTGTAATTTATAGTGCTAACGTTCCCATTTAGAAATAAACATACATGAACTTGTAACTACAAAGTAACACCTGATGAAAAAATATTGAATAATAATGATAATAAAAAGATGGCAATTTCGATCGTTCTGTTACATTCAATATTTTCAGTGCATTTGAAAACTAATCATTTAGTGTTAGAGTTCTATTTTAGTCTATCAAATGTATCCAGCATATAATTTATCTTTCATAACACCTTTTAATTGAAATAAATCATTTACAAATAAACAAACTTGAGACAGAAATCCATTCTCATGAAGTTTCTAGGTTCATTGTATAAGATATGTACTGAAACTACATGGTGCTTGGACATTTAAATCTGAATTGTTTCGTGTCAATGATTCCTGCCGACTGCCCATCTAGTGCGCCCACTTTCTTTATAAAGGGATGATAGATATTTTTTTCATATAAAGAGTTACCTCTCTTATCAGAGTATTAATGTACCTTAATTTGTGATTTCAATTTGATTCCAGGCAACAGACCCAGATTGTGTAGACAGACTTACCCAGTGTATCAAGCATGCTGTTCCACTTTTCTCTGTAAGTTCAAACCATTATCCATATCTAGCTTTAACATTTAATAAAAATATTGAGACATATTTGGAAAACATTACCTGGTAGTTGATTCATACAATTTGAAAGAAGAATGAAACATGTAGTTAAAGACATTGTACACCATGAGAGGATACAGATAAGA